AATCTTTGTGCTCTGTTTTTCCCATTGAATTTTAGATCAATAATAGAGTTTTCTTTGCAGTGATTAAAAACCCTGACAGTTCAAACACCTGAATGCAGCTGCTGTAGAAATTTCCAGGCAAGACCAGGTTTTGGTGATTTCTTCCTGGGTGTCAGGGGAGCCCTTGGGTGACACGGGAAGCATCGCCAGGTCCCCCTGCTTCCCTGGCCACGGTCAGATGCTTCTCCTTGAGCCTGCTCAGGTCGCTGTTTCTGGTCCTCCACTTGCTTAGCTGCACAAAACAGTCTGGCCACATGCAGGAGGTACGCAGGGCCGCCCCCCAGGGCTCCGTTCCAGGCTTCTTTGGGAGCTTCCTCTCCTCCTCCGCTGTGTGGAGGCCTCTGTCTTCCCAGTTCGTGTCTCAGGGTGACAAGGTGGCTGTTCCATGTGTGGCCACAACGTCTTGTGCCCAGCAGGGAGCTGGCGGAAGTTCCCAGCGTCCAGGTCATGCAGGTTGAGACTGCAGGCGTGGAGGGTGTCCTGGGAACCCCACGTGGTACCCTGTGACCGACACCTGGAACTGCAGAGCAGCCTGGGGATGCTCCGGCCTGCACAGCCCTCGGGAAGGCCCACGGAGCCTGGTATTGGACAGGTCAGGACTTCAGGTTGCCCCAGGACTTTGATCTGGAGTCAGCTGCAGGCGGACGCTCCCACAGTCCCCCACAGCCGCCCCCGCGGCCCCTTCCCCTTGCAGAGTTTTGCGGCTGTTCAGCAGGAGGGGCCTCCCCAGCCCTCGTCCCTGTAGGGTGGCACTGAGCCCCCCTCTCAGAGGTGCAGGGGGTGACCCACCTGTGCCCACACTCCAGGACTTCAGGGAGCACACGACCTGTGTCCTGTGGTGCTTCCTCCAGCTCCTGAGTGCTTCCTGCCTGGGTGCTGGTCAGCTTGGTCTTCAGGGTAGCAACCTGACCCCACCCGGCTCTGTGTGTCTTGGTGTCTCCCTCCCAGGGTGGGTGTGGGGTTGAGCGAGATCCTGTAAAGTGCTTGGCACATCCCAGGCCCTGGGGAGCAGGAGCCGCTGCTGTCCCTGTGCAGGGTCGTTCACTGCTCCAGAGATCTAGGGCGTCGGCAGGGTCACGCCTGTGATCCCGGCCCTCAGGGCCCTCCTGCTCCACGTCCTGCTGGTGCCATAGAGCACCCCTGACCTGCGTCCCTCCTCCCGAGGTCTCATCGGCTGTGGCCAACACGTCTGAAACACTGGAAGGAACGACCAGCAGAAGTTCTCCAGTAAGCTCTGTTCTAAGGTGACGGTGCGTCACCCCTCCGTCCAGCGCACCCACGCAGTGCACACCACCCTCACACCAGTCACACGGTCACCACTACACCCCTGGGCCTCCACCACCAGGGCCCCATGCTTGTTCTCTTGATTCACGAATAATGGCCCAAAGACAAGAATGCCCCTGCTGGCAGTGGGAGTGGGCCAGCGCTTCCATGGGGAAGGTGGACGTTCTCCACGGGGCAAACGGCTTCTGCTGAGGTTGCCAAGACCTTCAGCGGGAACTGTCCTCCACACGTGGGGAAGGAACAAGGAGCATGTGCAGCTTTCCTGTCACTCCTCAGGCTGCAAAAGTGACAGCCACAGGGACACCGCGTGGTGAGGAGCAAGGCCTGGACTCGTCTGCATGAGCAGGAGGCACAGCAGGTCTCAGTACTGCGTGGGCCAGGCTCGCGTGTGTCCCTGGGACACGGTGGCTGTGGCCTGATGGCCTGTTCCGGATTCCATATTCCTGTCCCACAGAACCCCGCCCCACCAAGCCTCAGCTCCAGCCTGCAGCTGACTGCTCCCAGCTGGGCCTGGACACAGCCTTGTACTGGGGCAGGAGCCGCTCACAGGGGCCCTGGTCTCAGTTGCAGCTGGGCACTAACCATGGAGACCTGTGCCTGCTCCTCGCTGGCTGGGGATACTGGACGTGTCCTTTCCCTGGCCAGGGAGCACTCCGCCTCACACCCCTGCCGTGTTCTCTGTGCAGTCATGGGCCCCTGTGACAAGGACAATGAGGAGAGGCAGAGCTGTTGCCCTTTCTCACTGCAGCGGACACTGCGTAGCTGTGACATCAAGCTCGTGCCCTGGGCCCCACCTGGTCTCCAGACTCTCGTGAACTCCAATCCTCCTGGTCTCCACTCCTGCAAGGCCCTGTGGTCAGCAGACCCTGCCAGCCGAAGAAGTCCAGGAGCGTCTGGGTCTGACTCTGTGGCTGCACCCAGTCTCCCAGCATCTGCACCCATCTCCCAGGACAGGAGGAGAGCTGGGCAGGCCCGTCCACGTTGGGGAGATGCTGGCCACAAATTACCTGGGATGTCGGCATTCTGGCCACGGAGGAGTCCAGTGACAGGCACCTAATAAAACTGGAAGGATGATAATAAAAAGAGGATTGCAAGGCAATTGAAGTCCAGGGCTGGCGGGGCTCAGGAAGGATGACAAAGGGTAATGCAAACAGCAGCCCCCACCCGTACCACCCAGGGCTCAGGAGGGTGGCCTGTGGCTACGCTGACCTGGCCCAGCAGGGCCCTCATCTCCTGACCCTGTCCCCTCCAGAGAAGAACCACACGGGGCCCGCTGGGAACACAGGCACCGTCCTCCTCCCCAGCACCCGCCATATTCTAACCTATCATTAGAACATTCATATCCTCACTTGTCCCGTCCAAACACTGAACTCTGATTTAAAGTTGAGTAAGACAGCTATTTTAAACCACTCAGTCACTGGCTTCTGACCATCTTTTATAAAGAGTTGGGTTAATTATTGAAGCCACAGATGATCTGCCTGAAGATGAACTGCTTGGCTTGTAGACGGCCTGCTGTCCCCGTGGATCAGAAGCCAGAGCCGGCGGGTGGGTCTCAGCTCTGCCTCTGCAGCCCCCACCTGCTCCAGGTCCCCAGACCACAGAGGCCTCCCATGGAGACCAGCCACCCAGAAACAGAGGTGTTCACAGCTGGGGCTTCTGTGTCCAGAACCACCGCCAGCGGACATCTGAGCACGCCCCGTCACTGGGCGCCAGGCAGCCCTGGGAGGCCCAGGTCTCTGCCCTGGGAGGCGCTCCTCGGGTCCCCGGGTTAAAGCCCCACTGCTCGGCTGTCCTGAAGCAGCGCCCCCAGGACCAGTCCTGCTGCCACACTGCTGGGAAGCGAGACTCTCTCCTGCTGTGACGAGAACACGATTTTCCTTCAGTGTGCAAGAATGCAACTGGCACTTTAAAGGTTCACACACAGCGGATCCTTACAGAGAGCTTGGGCCAGTCTGTGACAAGCTGACCGCCCGCCATGCCCTTGGGGAGTCTCTCCACACCCCCAGCCGCAGGTTCTCGGTCTCTGTCCTTGCAGTCTGTGGTCGTGTTGGACTTTATACGTCCACACACACCAGCCTGAGCTGCCTAACTCAACCATCTCCCAGGAAAAGCCCTTCCGAGGTGTGGGCGAACGCAAGGCTGCGTCCGGCTCTGCGGCGGGTCTCTGCCCCTTCCCCTGGAGCGTCGTCTTACCAGGGTCTCCCGGCCTCTGCTACCAAAGGCCGGGGCAGAAGGAAGTCATGTCTCTGCCACGGGCATCTAGAGGCCCGGGCAGCAGAGGGCTCAGAGGGTGGCTCACGCGTGGGGCACAGTGTCTGTGCGCGGCCTCGGGTCCTCTTGTGCCTCTGTCGCCCTACTGATGGGCAGGACCTGAGCCGCCAGGAGCAGCCCCCTCCTGCTCCCCCTGCTTCTTCCTGTCCTGTCTGCAGTTGTGGGGCCGGGGCTCTGCACGTGAGCCTGCCCGGGGCTGTACGATCGTCACTGCAGAGCGTTTGTACAGGTGAGCGGGGTATGAGAAGGGGACTTTCATTCACTGACGTTAGTCCAGGCTGGTGGTCCGCATGGGGGCTCAGAGCCGTCACTAACAGTGCTGGCTGCCCACGGCTCCTGAGCACTCACTGTCCATGCTGGAGGGCCCAAGGGCTTTCTGTGCAGCCACAGGTCCCCTGGTGTATGGCCTTCTCTGGGCCTGGCAGCCCGCTCAGCTGGCACCTGATGGACAAGGCTGCAGGTGACACCCAACCCAGAGGCTTTCTGCCAGTGACTGGGCCTACGGGCCTCCCTCCCCTGGGTGGGCAGATCTCTGCAGCACAGACTTGGACTTAGCACGTCAAGCTGTTCGCTGTTAACCTCCGCAGGGTGTCTGTGTGTGTGGTTACGCATCTGTGTATTCACTTCTGTTTGTGTGAATGAATCTGTATTCATGTGTGTGCATGAACATGATATTCACACAGACATTTACGATCCATGTTATATTGTTTTTAACATCTCTGATTTTGGGGGGAATTTTTCTAGTAGAACACTATTTCAGTTTGTTCAATAAATCCCAATATTTATAAAACTCAAGAGCTAAAGTTCCGCAGGGTGTGTAAGAGCAGCGACGTCTTCTCATGGGCCATCCCACTGCTCCAAGGCCATGCTGCACATGCTCACAGCTGGAATGGACCAGACACCATGCCCATCCCCTGGGGCTCAGAGCCAGCCTCAAGCACTCCAAGGACCGTCCTGCCCCCAGCCGAGGACCGTCCTGCCCCCCAGCCGAGGCCGAAGATCATCGCGGTTGGGCCGAGGGGCTAGAGTGCTGCTCGGTGTTAGAATGTGTGCTTAGCAATTCAAGCCAGGGCAGATCTCAGCACCCAAAACAAACACACAACCAAAGTTTGAGTCTGCTCCTTCCATGGGCAGCAGCCAGAGGTGAGGAAGGATGGCATGCAACTCCTCACAGCTGCAGGAGAAGGATCTCTCTTTGCTTTAGGATTTTTTGTGAGATTGGAAGCAGAATCCTCTTGAGATCTCTGCTCCTCTTACCTGGGCAAACACCTGAAGTTGTTGAATTGACTCATGTGCGGGGGGGCGAGGAACACGGTGGGAGTAGTGCACAGCCGTCCCTGTCTCCGCGGGAGCAGAGGGGGCTCTGGCGGGGTCCTGGGGAGTGGGGCGCTCAGTGTCAGGTGCTGGCCCTGTTTTCTTACCCGGATTCCAGGTCACACAGGCGTCTCTCTGCTGCAGAAATGAAGGTCCGGACACAGTAGCCTATTTCAGGGAGACATTTTTATTTAACACGTATGCTTAGCCTGGAAATAACTGGAGAAAATGAGGAGTTTCTTAAGGGCTGCACTTTTGAGGACCAGGCACCTTGCCGTGAATCTCCATCAGACCATGTTCCTGGGCGTGCTGTGGTGTGGGAGCACAGGGTCCTGCTGGAGGGACCCTGGGCCTTGCAGACAAGAAGTCCCCCTGCTGCCTGTGCCGAGGGGCCGATGCCAAGGACAGGGCTGCTGGCTGAGGTCAGGTGACACCCGCCGTGGCCTCGGTGTGACAGAAAGCAGGCTGGGCCTCCAATGCCCAGGGACGGGGGCTTTTGTGTCTGCCTGAGCCAGGAATCTGATCTATTTGAGAATTCTTGTGCCGTAAGAATAATGCCCCAAAGGTGTTAAACAAGAGAAAATATGCACGATCTGACGTTAAGATTTATGGGTTTCAATGTAAAACAATCCAGGGGGAAGGTTTAAAAAATTAATTTGTATTCTAAGCGGCAGAATGTGGCGTGTTGGAGACGCTTAAGGATCTCAAACACGAGGGAGCTTGCTGAATGGAGAGGCCATTCATGTGAAATAGAGGATCAGAGATGAGAACAGGTGGGGAAACTTACATTTTGTGTTTTTTTTTAATGAAGACTACGTTGGAAAACTGAGTTTTGCTTTACTCACACAGGAGCAGTAGGAAACCAGCCTGGCAGCCTTCGCTGTGCTAAAGAGCCCTAGATTTGTGATACTGCAGGTCACTGGAGCACCTTGAACACAAGACACCGGGTGTGTTTGCGGACCACCAACAGACCCAGCTCGTCCTGAGCCAGGCACGGAGGAGCCATCTCTGAGAGCGCCCGCTGCTCCCTGCTCTAATTGAAGCTGTACATCACATTCAGAGCCCGCCCCCGCCTTCCGGCAGCTCTCGGGCCCTTCTGGGTCCCTTTCTGCCCTACCCTTCCTCCACCAGGAAGGAGCTGCTCCTTCATCAGATGTCGTCCTGCAGGAGAGCGACACGGCCCTCTGCCGCGGGTCCCCTTGGAACAAGGTCACAATCGTCAGAGACGTATCTCCCCACTTCTTCATCCCAGATGCTCACAGCAGCCAGGAGGAAAGAATATTTAGGCTGTGTTCTGTCAACACAGGCTTCTCCCGTCAGGCAGAAGAGCAGGCAGGGGCTTGCGTTGCTGCCAGACAACTGGCCACACAAGAAAACCGTCCTCGAGGTTCCTCTGACAGCTTTATTCCCGTGGCTCTGGCCGAAGAGTAGCAGAAGGATTGCAGAGGCGCTGCGTGGAGCGTCACTCCCAGATTCAGGAAAGTGTCCGCTGGCTGCAGGATGAGCGAGAGGACGCAGGGAGGGGACGGGGCTCCAGTGACCTCAGTCACTCCCTGCCTCGTTTCTGTAGCCAGATCCCGCTCCCTGTCTGCGCTGGGTCGGGGGCTCTGTTTCCTGGAATAGGGAAGAGCCCCCACGCGCTGCCCGAATGCTGGTGTGGAAGAAGCCGCTACCAGTCGCTGTGCAGCTGCTGCGGGCCCTGGTCCTGGAGAAGACCCGGGCAGGTGTGACTGGTTTACGTCAGGCCCTGCCTGTGGCACATCTGTCTGGCCCACTCATTAGCCAGCAGAGCTCCTCCTCTGGGCCTCCTGATGGATGCTTGTGACTCACGTGGAATGCCCTGTCCACTCGGGTCCTTCCAACAACCGTGAAAGAACCCAAGTTTTTTGTTCTTTGAAGCAGCAAAAACAGAGTCGGGGAAGGACTTTCTGGATGACAGACTGCTAGGTAGGCTACCGCAGCTCATCCCTGTCAGCCAAACCCAGGGCCGGAGATCCTCCCACGGGTGTTTGTGCATAGAAAACTCTGCAGTGAAGCACACGGGGCAGAGCAACACAGGCCGCCCGCTGCGGGATTCCTGGCATGCACCACAGGTCTCCTGGGGTCCTGCCTCAGGGCCGCAGGACTGGTGCTGGGTCCCTGCAGGTGCCCAATCCACAGACACCAGGGCCTGGCGATGGCATAGCACCCACATGCACCCTCCCGCGTCACCTGCACCCTCCGCGTGCTCCAAGCATCTCTAGGTTACTCATAATGCCCGACACAATGTATGTGAGGCAGAAATAGTCATTAAACTGTATTTTTTTTAGGAAACAATTACAAGAAAAAAAGTGTCTGCCAGCTTCAGTGCAGATACAGTTGTTTTCACAAATACTTTCCATCTGTGGTGGGTTCAGTGCCAGACGTGATGGGCTGACGCCAAGTGCTGCCGGTACCTCCTTTCCCACAGGCCTACCTCATGGATGTGCGCATAGAACCAAGTTCCTGGACACTAAGACGCAGTCTCAGGCCGGGACTGGAGGGCCAGAGCATCAGGTGAGCTCCTTGCTTCTCTGGAGGCCTGAGAACCCGTGTCCCCATGCTGTGAATCAGTGCCCAAGCATCTCTGCTCTGCAAAGGCCCTGAGTCTTCCATCTCTGCCCTAGCCTAAGATGCCGGTCCCTTCTGGAACAACCCTTCCCCTTATGTCTACCCGTTTGGGACTTCACCATTTGTACAGAATTGGACTGAACGCCCCGGTCCTGCTGGGTGCCAGTCTGTTCTGTGGGGACCTCTTCTGGAACCAGTGTGCCCTCCGGGTCTCTGGTAGCTTGTTCAGCAGTGTGTGTCCTCTGCGCGTTTGAGGGTGTGCTCTGTGTCTGGTTCACCTTTGGGCCATCTGTAGGTGCAGCTGGGAAAGGCTCAGATACAGGTCCATGTCCTTGTGGGGATGGGTTTGTAGAAACTGAGGTCTTCAACTCAACACTGGAGAGGGAGCCTGGGGAGAGTGGGGAGATGGACCCAGCACAGGGTAGGGAGAGGGAGCC